ATGAGCGGCATGCTTCACTTCGGTGGGGCTCGAGGGGCACTTTACGTCCCGAGGCGCTGAACCTTGAGGCCTGAAATTTCATGCTCAGGGACTCCTTAAAAAAGAAAAAAAACCAACAGAGAGACACTGTGTGTCATGTTATATATATATATATAATGTTCCTGCAACAGAGAGAGAGGAGGCACGACAACAGACGCGCGGTGGAGCGAGCGGAGGCGGAGGAGGAGAAGGAAAGTGTGTGTGTGTTGTGTATATGTGTTGTGTGAGCGGCCATGTCATAGACGATAATATTATAATATTATCTAGTATGCATATGCGTGTGTGTGAGATCCGCGTCAGCGTGTGTGCGCGACGAGGGAAGAGAGGAATTGTGCGCTTTGTGAGGAGGGGGGGGGGGAGGTTGCGCCTGGCTGTGGTTGTGTATGCTGCTGCCGGGTTGATTTCCCTAACGCGCGCCACTGTTGTGCTTATATTTTGTTGCCGCAGGCACGGAAAATAACAATGACATTTTGGCTTTCTATAATACATTTTCAACCGGACTAATAAGCGAACAGCGACAAGTAACAAAGTGACAAGAGAGGAGGACACTTTGCGTGAGAACCAATCGTGTGCCATTCGCATTTCGCTGTGAACATTATCGTCCCCCATAAGGTTATCATCCCCCATAAGGTTATCGTCCCCCATAAGGTTATCGTCCCCCATAAGGTTATCGTCCCCCATAAGGTTATCGTCCCCCATAAGGTTATCGTCCCCCATAAGGTTATCATCCCCCATAAGGTTATCGTCCCCCATAAGGTTATCGTCCCCCATAAGGTTATCGTCCCCCATAAGGTTATCGTCCCCCATAAGGTTATCGTCCCCCATAAGGTTATCGTCCCCCATAAGGTTATCGTCCCCCATAAGGTTATCGTCCCCCATAAGGTTATCGTCCCCCATAAGGTTATCGTCCCCCATAAGGTTATCGTCCCCCATAAGGTTATCGTCCCCCATAAGGTTATCGTCCCCCATAAGGTTATCGTCCCCCATAAGGTTATCGTCCCCCATAAGGTTATCGTCCCCCATAAGGTTATCGTCCCCCATAAGGTTATCGTCCCCCATAAGGTTATCATCCCCCATAAGGTTATCGTCCCCCATAAGGTTATCGTCCCCCATAAGGTTATCATCCCCCATAAGGTTATCATCCCCCATAAGGTTATCGTCCCCCATAAGGTTATCGTCCCCCATAAGGTTATCGTCCCCCATAAGGTTATCGTCCCCCATAAGGTTATCATCCCCCATAAGGTTATCGTCCCCCATAAGGTTATCGTCCCCCATAAGGTTATCATCCCCCATAAGGTTATCATCCCCCATAAGGTTATCGTCCCCCATAAGGTTATCGTCCCCCATAAGGTTATCGTCCCCCATAAGGTTATCGTCCCCCATAAGGTTATCGTCCCCCATAAGGTTATCGTCCCCCATAAGGTTATCGTCCCCCATAAGGTTATCGTCCCCCATAAGGTTATCGTCCCCCATAAGGTTATCGTCCCCCATAAGGTTATCGTCCCCCATAAGGAATCTC